GTTCCCCATTAAAAAGACACACAGATTACAAATGGAAACAAAATCTTCTAACTTCTATGTTTATTTCTACTGATTACTTTTCTGATGATGTTCTTTCTGTAATCTGTGCACATGTTCCACAGCCACGGCCAGGATGATCAAGACAACAACACAACGATTGCAAACATCCACAGGACAGCCCACAACAGGTAAGTATCATCAACAGATCAACTCACAGCAATCAACAACGTGTTAGCTGATCTTCTTCTCGCTGTCCTCACGCAGATGTTTGTATGACCAGGCACAAGTTATGATGAGTGGCACTACACCATAATCTAGTGCTGTACCGCCCGTTAAACACACAAGTGCAAGTAGCTGTTCCCACCAATCTTCAGCAGATGGCAGCGCACATCAAATCTGCCTTGTGGCGCACTCCAGCCAAGCCAAAGTGACACATCATCAAGAGAGTTGCCAAGTCAGCATCAGTGGCCAATAGGCCGTCGTGAATGGAGATACTTTGTAGCCACGTAAGCAGGAAGAGACTGCCAATCCACATGTGATCACTCGAGTCCTCGAAATGCAGCGTCAACCTCGTGTGCTGCTGCTTCGTCGGAGATGCCACGTCAGTAAGGAAGTCCCAACACGGGTAAGTGCCACATCAGACCCTGTACGTGCTTCTTCTTCTTAGGTGCCACGTCGACACCTGATCGTCATGCCACATAAGCGGCGATTCTCCGATGCCTGGTAAGCAGCTCTCTCCCTTTCTCAATTTCGATGGTTACCCAGTGCCACGTCAGCACTATCTCGCCAACGCGTATCAGATCCACGTCATCATCATCATCATCATCATCATCATCAGATACATGCGTGCGCGACTCCGATCCAACGCGCGGATCAAACATGCGCGTACGACAATTGGCCGTCCGTAACCAAACAGGTGCACGAACAATCACGCAAAACTCAACCAGGTGCACACGCATGTACAACATGATATACCAAGCTGTGCGACCTCGCGGGTGCAATACCGCGGTCATCAGCAGACAGCGACGGATGGAGGATATCGCTCTGATACCAAATTGCAATGAACCCAGTCACGTGAAAAGCTCAAGACAAACGAAGTACAAAACGTCTCAGCGCAGTTACAATGTCACCGAAATCGTACAAGTGATCATGTAGTCCAATGTCAAGTCACCGGAGAAGAGGGTGATGGGAGGGAGATCAGACTTAAATGATGGAAGAAAAAGTGTCCATCAACATAGCAGATAGATCTCCCTCTCAAGCCCAATTCCTCTTCGGGCATCTCCCACTTGCCACGTCAGCAGACAGTCCTCTCTGACATACACGGACAATGAACAGATCTCATCATGGCGCCTACTCCGCGCAGACAACTCTTCTGAAGCCGATCATCAATGCGCAATGTCGACACACACACACAGACAGATAGTTTTCCTCTCATTCAACCAATCTCACAGACCTGATCCTCCTCCTCGTCGCCGGTATCCCATCAAATGTCGTAGACAGTGTGGCGAGAGCCACGTCAGCATAGACATATATCCAGCTGGTGCCACAGACAGAAGAAGGCGCCAGCATAGAGCAGTAGCAGTCTCGCGTCGTCGCCCAATATCTTAGCCGCAAGTGCAAGACTGAATGCCGGTCAGCAGGGGCTGGATCAATACATAGTGTTGACTTTGGTTGACCAGCCTCTGGTATGGTGGCCCAGATCATCTCGCAGCCAATGGCCTGGATCCATGCAGTTACAGATTCCCTCTTGGACTTGATCCTTGACGGATACCTGCAAACAACCAAGTGTGTGTGCTTGATCGGCGGCCTGGACTGGGTCCACGTTGACTTTGACTCGTGAGCTTGAATTTCCGAGCTGCTGTTTACCTTTGACTTTCCACGGTCAACTGTCGCACGTTGGGCCTCTGAAGGGCAGTTCTAGGCCTGGCTTCGGGTACCCCACAATACCAGGCCTTCGTTCTGGCGGTATGCATGACCTGGGCGTGGCCGTTTATCCCTATGTTGGCCTTAAGACCAAAATGACGACCTTTAGCCCACGACTGATGCATGTTTTTGAGCTGAGTTATTGCACACATGGGGATGTGGGCAGGTGCCACTCAACCACCATCAACGTGGGCAGCCTTGTACTTGCTGCTAGCGTGGGTGAACACAGGTCAAAACAGTTCTATTATGTTCATGTTGCTTGCTAAAGAGGTTAAGTTCTTTAAACCACCAGTACCTCGCCCAACCAAAAATTTCCGACGTGGCCGTTAACGCGCCGCATCGGACGGGGGTCGGGGAGTGGCCGACCGGTAGGATAGTGAAATAAGACGGAAAAAAAAAAACGAAGAAAAGGAAAAAACTTCAAAAAAGCAATCATTTTCAGAAATGTAAAATCGAATAAAAAGCAAAACAACGGGCCCGGCAGGGCGGGGGCTGAAAGAAAGAGAAAAAAAACACAGACACACGCACACACACACACACACACACAGAGAGAGAGAGAGAGAGAGAGAGAGAGAGA